TCCTCTCGCAGTGCCGTCTTCGGGGGGCGCTCGCGTGCGGCAGCGTCGGGCAGTCGATCAGGCGGCGCTGAGTGAGCGTCTATTTTAGCGCAGGTTTTTGCGTCGAGTAGCGCCGATTGGCGTCGGCTAGCGTCGATTAGCGTCGGCTAGCGTTGATCAGCGTCGATTCGCAAGAGCCAGCAAGATGGCACGGCAGGCCACGCAAGACCCCCCCGCATCGGGAAGTTATGAGACAAGCTTAGAGATGCGTTCTGGGGGGGTGTCTTGTTGCCGTTGTTGTTGTTGCTGCTGCTGTTGTTGTCGTTGTTGTTGTTGTTGTTGTTGTTGTTGTTGTTGTTGTTGTAGTTGCTGTTCTTCGTATTGTTCTTGTTGTTGTTGCTCTTGTTGTTGTTGGCGAGTGATAGCAGCCACGCGTACAGGGGGGTAAGGGGAGAGGGGGGAAGACTTCTTGGAAGCACCCCTGCTTCTTAGAACAGGCGGGCCTTGTCTGTAGATGTGGGGCCGGCGCCTCCTACGAAGCAGCCGCCTTCCAAGAAGCCTTCCCCCCTGGCCCCGTGTGCGCGCCGCCAGACGGAGCCGTAGCATGTGACCTTCTTTTCCACATCGTCTCGGGATGTCGCTCCTTGTCCTCGTCGTCGCCCTTCGTTCGGCTAGCTGTAAGAGTGACCCTTCGCCGGAGCGACCTTTGTTTGACACGAGCTCCATAAGGGGTCCCCCGATCGCCGACCGCGGTGCGACGGTGGCGCCCTGCGCTCCTGCGTTTGGCCCCCCCGCGGCCCCCTGAAGCGCCGCGCACCTGAGGCCACCCTTGCCCGGGGCCACATTCTGAGGCGGGAATGCATACATGACGGCCGCCTGGAGGGTCAGTCTTCGGACCCTCGGCAAGCGGTGGACATGGACATCTTCGGGCCCCCTCCTTTCGACACTCTTTCGACGCTCTCTCGGCACTCTTTCGACACTCTGACGGGTGCTCGAAATGTTATTTCTGGGATGTGGCCCTCAAGCGCGATGGGAGCAACCTGATCCTAATGGGTGCACATTATTCTCTTGCACAGCTGTGCTCTAGAGCTGGGACCTCTTTATTTTCTTGGTTCGCTCGTGGTTCGTCGTCCCTGGACCCCCCCCTCCCCCGAGCCTCCCAGGCCCTCCTGGGCCGCCGAAGCCTTTATTTTCGTGGTTCGTTCGTGGTTCGTCGTCCCTGGACCCCCTCCCTCCCCCGAGCCCCGTGAACCACCGAAGGGGCCCTGGGACACACAGATAAATACACACAAATAAAAAGATTCCATATTTTCCTATATTTTCCTGGGACTCGACGATTTTTAGGGGAGAGGGCGAGGAGGCAGCCTGGCTCCCCCAGCTTCGGGGAGAGCGCCGGCCCCGCGCGGCGGGGGCGCGCCGCCCCCGCGGGCGCGGGGGCGCGCGCGGGGCGCGGGCAGGCCCGCGGGGGGAGGGCGCCCTCCGGGGAGGCCCGCCCGCCCCGGGCCCCCGTGGGCCCCACGGGAAGGCACCCGCGTCGGGAGCGGCCAAGAGGGGGGTGTCCAAGAGGGGGGGGTGCAAATCATGACCGGCGGCATGTGCGCGGCCCAGCGGGGCGGCCAGGGACGTAATGAAATAAGAAGAGGCGCCACGAGATCTGGGGAGATATCATGGCCCCCGCCATGATATCCACCCCCCCCTAGTCATCACCCCCCCTCTTTTCCGCCCCCGACGCGGCGGGAGGCCCCTCTGCGGCCGCGCGGGGGCAGCTCCTGGGAGGTCCGCGTCTGGCTTTGCCCTGGGCGTAGGTCGGGGGGGGGGGGGGGGAAAAACATACGGACACAATTCATCGTCGAGTCCCAGGAAAAGATAGGAAAATATGGGAAGTGGGGGGAAGACAAAAACCCAGAAACAAAAAGGAACATATGGGGAATCTTTTTATTTGTGTGTATTTATTTGTGTGTCCCAGGGCCCCTTCACGTAGGTCGCCCTAGGAGAAATGTTCAAAAGTGGTCGAAAAATAGTCTGGGGACGGTTTTTCTATTCTGTTCTGACTATTTGGGGGTCTGTTTGGAGTATTTTCAAATTTTCGCCCAACATCCCCCTGTAGGGGGACAAGCCCGACCTAACCCTGGGCCGACGTCCGGCTTGAGCCTGCTGAATCCCGTTCGATCGGGCCGAATCCCGGCTCATCCAGCTTAGTCGCGCTTCATCCCGCTTGCTCCGCGGCCCAATCTGGCGCAGCAGTCCCGCAATGGGGCCCGATGCTCCCAGATCGTTCCGACGAAGACCTCCCAGATCGTTCCGACGAACATTCGCAAGATGGGATGGGACGCCTCCAGGGACCTCCGAGGAAGGAGATCGATCAAGACTGCACGGTTGGTGCAGTTCTGGGAGCGTTGACGAGCTCGTCCCCCCCGTCTCACAGGATTTTAGAGCCCAGAGGGGGAAAGGGGGAGGGGGGCGGCCAAGCATCTTGCACGCCTTTGCACCCAAGGCAAGCGGGGGTCGGCAGATTCTTATGGCTGACTGTGCTCTAGGTCGGCCGCTGGGGCACGTTGATAACCGCGCTCCGCGTTTGGCGGTCGACCCGTCCATCTTCAGGAGTCGGTACGATCGAAATGGGTACGGAGAGAATGGGTACGCAGACCGAGAGCAGCTCCTGCCCACTTTGAACAGGGCTCGCGGTCGGCGTCTCTGCAGGCGCAGTCCACTTGAGACAGGAGGACGCCTGTCCAGCAGCGGCCGCTGTCGGTCTTGGACAACATATGTTGTTGGGCATGGTGCAGTCGACCCGTATCCTAAGGATGCACGACAAGGAGGCACGGGCCTTGGAAGGCCGCTTCGGAGCTTTCCGAGCGGGGCGCGGCCGACAAAAGTGGCCAAGGATGGACCGAGGAGGCAAGGATGCGAGGGTACCCTTGGGAAGGTTAGCCCATCCGTCCCATGCGGGTTGGCCGTACCCACTTCTGCCGTACCCCTTTCGGGCGTCCAAGAGAAGGGCCGCGCGACAGCGTGAAGGGCTCCCCGCGGGGCGGGCACCGCGCCGCGCGCCCCGCGCCGCGCCGCCGCGAGGAGGCGGGGGGACGGGACGCCTCCAGGGGCCCGTGCAGGTGCGCGGGGGGCCCCCGGAGGGCTGCGGAGCTGTCCCGAGAGGGCAGGCCCGGGCCTCACAGATGGGGCCCGAATGGACGGGGTCGGAGGATCGCGCTGCATCGCCGATGCATCGGCGATGCGGCGCGAGGTGGAGTCCGCTTTTCTCCGCCCCTCTGGCGCCGGTGCACCGCCCAAGCCGCCGGTGTATTGCCGATATGTGTCGGTTGCTGGGACCCCAGTTGGGAGACCTTGAGAGGTGGGGGATGGTGCGAGAAGATGACGACACCAGCCGGAGGCCATGGTGTCCGGTTCTGGACTGCCTCAGGCTCTGTGGCCGTGCCGTCGCCGCCTCTGCGTGGACGCGGCGGGAGGATGCCAGAACGCGTGGGGCCGGGATGTCTGTTTGGAGAGGGGAGGGGGTGGCAAGTGGCAGGGCCTGGAGTTGTCAAACGACGCGAAGATCGGGACAAAATCGGATCGGGATAACTCGAAATCTCTGAGAATCGGCGGGTTTGGAGGATGTATTGGGCGCCGCGGCCGCTCCAGAGCGTTCCGGAACGCTCTGAGAGCGCTCCGGAACGCTCTGGAGCGATTTATCCCGATCCTAGCCCTGTTTTACTGTTTGGAGAGGGGAGGGGGGGCAACTGGCAGGGCCTGGAGTTGGACGCCCAGGTGAGCAGATTGTCCAGGATCGTGCACAAGGTCACGGGCGAGACCGTCGAGGAGCTGGGGGATCCGGCGTCGGGGAAACATTGCAGGTTTCGGCTCGGCGTCGGACCCCTGCGGATTTGAGATTGCTGCTGCTGCTGCGGGGGTCCCTACTGAAGTCATCTTCCCGAAGCAATCCTTACGGGAAGAGTCCATCGTAAGGAATCCTTGCCGTCGGGATCTCAATGGGACCCATACTAAGGAAGAATTTCTAAACATAACCCTTACTAAAGGAGTATTGGCGACATGTTTTATTTCAAGAAGAACCCTTGATCTTAGTGTTCGTTTGCTGCTTGCGTGAATTCATCGCGAACAAATGTAAGTGTCACCGCAAGGCTGGCATGTTGCCTGGCCCATCGTGCCGTATCGGTGCTCAGTGCCACCTCACTCACCGTGGGCTCTTTGAGAACACCATCGTCCACCGCCAGACAATGCGCATGTCCACCGCTCTGGAATCGTGAACTAGGGCCTCGAGGAATGGTGAACGTGGATCTGCCCGCACCTGTGTGCGGGAAATGTTCATATCTTCCAGTACCCAAGAGCAGGGGTGGCAGGACCCAGTAAGCTGTGGATATGGGTGGTTTTTGGCGGTGCACCCTCTCTAAAAGACATTCGGCAACACAGGTCAAGCCGAGCTTCTGCACGCATCCAGTCACCGTCGCCAGAGCATCATCGTCACATCGTCATTGCTTGTCCTGTAACGCTGGCCGTCGGATTCCGCAGTCGACGTCCAGGGAGATGAGCGAACGCATTTGTTTGAAGATCTTTCTCTGATTTCCCTTGACCGTTCTGCCCCCCAGGTTATTTGCACGACGTCCGTTTGTCATTTGCGAGACAGGAGCAGGTGTTCGGGGTTCGTTCAGAGTTCGGGTTCGCCGTAATCATTTGACCACCCGCTTTGGCCAACCATGGATCCAGGCAAGAACTCTCGACACGGTGTTTGTGCCCACGTAAAATCGTGGAGTGGGGTCGTAACGGCTCGGATTCAATCAGATTCCGCGTATAGAAGAATCACAGCCTTGTAGCCAGTGGTAGATATGCATCCTGCAGGCTCGGAAGTATTTCTCCCAATGCCACGCCAAGGCCCCAAACACACCCAACAGATAAACGAAAGTTTCGCGCCTGACCCCGGCCAGATCAGCGAGCGCGCGTTCCAACCGCCCCCCCCATGAAACTCTCAACGGGCTTCCGCCTGCGTGGGCCCCAGAGTGATCCCCTCCTTTAGCTAGGATCTTATGGAGGAGAGTGGATGGATCTTGGTTTTGGCGACTCTGCTTGGGACGTCTTCAAAATCTGCCTTGTTGGCCCATGGCTTGGCCTGGTTTGTGCTGGTCTGGCCCCGCGCCCCGACTGGGACATGCTCAACATCTGCCTGCTTCGGCCACCAGTTTGGCCTGGCTTGGGCCCAGGTGCGTTGGAGACGCTCTCAGAATTTGCTTGGCTTGGCCGTGGTTTGGCCTGTTTAGGGCTTGGCTTCGTTTGAAACGTCCTCAGGATTTGCATGGTTTGGCTTGGTTCGGGCCCAGTCTCGCTTGAGACGGCCTCGCAAATGGCCTGGTCTGGCCTGGGCGAAACGACAAGTCCGCGAAGGTGTGTACGGTTGAGTAACATCTGCTATGGGCGCCATGCGGTCTCAACGCACAGTGGGATGTGCCATATTCTCTTCGACTTTGAATGGGTAATCAACAGACGTCGTGGTGAAATAATGGCACCGTGTCGTGAACACCGATAATTGTGGCCCACATGTAACAAGACTGCACTACAAAAAGGCGGGCGGCATGGGTGTAGACCTTCTCAACACGCCGTGGTTCGGCATGAGCGTTCGTGGCGGCGTTCGGAGGACACCTTTCCGAGGCTGTAGTGGCCTGCGGCCCATCCCGCCACCCGTGCCTGTGTCGTGGGCGAAATACCATTTGAGAGATTCCCTTGTGTTTGGGGCGGGCCTCCTGGGGGGCGTTGTGAGCCGTGTGGGTGTCTTCGGGGCGTCAGACAGGCATCCCTGACACCCCCATGGTGCTTTGTGATTTCCTCCTGTTGTGAAGAGGCTCCGCCATCGTCCTTAGCATGTCACGAACTTGCGCGCCTGGCTCATGAAGTCTATCGGTTGCCGCGCGCCCGTGGAACGTCGCAAATGGTGGATCGTTGGGTAGGCCCCTTGGGCCATCTTGGGTCGGTCTTAAAAGCCTTTTGGGCCGTCTTGGAGCGTCGAGAAGCCGAGAAGGCGAGAACGCTCTCTCAACCACCGACAGACAATCAAGGATGTTTGCTTCTTTGGGCCCTCTTTGGAGGTCTCTCGGAGGCCTCTTGGAACGTCTTGGGGGCATCTTCGGCCGTCTTGGGACCATCTCAGGCGTCGTGGGCTCCTCGTTCGACGACTCGGAACCCTCTTCGACCATCTCGCGGGCATTTTAGGGTCCTCTTGGCCTGTGTTGGGGCTCCCTTGGTGTCCCAGAAGCCCCCAAAGCCCAGACGACACACCCCAACAGACCGCAGGAGCGCCCCAGACCACCTGGGAAACTGGGCGTCCGGGCCCGTAAGAACCACAAGCCCTCTACCTCGCAAGGCACGACGAGCCCTGGGGCACTCCGCTACGTGCCGAAGGCACAGTACCGGAAATTTCAACAGTCGATGGCAGCGATCTGCAAGAAAACGATTCGACTAACAGGAGTGACCGTGCGATTCTGGCTTCCCTTCTTCTTCCAGGCCTCGGAACAAATTTGCGAACACTCATGCCACATTCATCCGTCAACGCCTCCCCCTCCCCCCAATGTTCAAAGTTGGCGGTGGGTCTGATGAGATGCACTTCGACCGCAGTGTCCCCCGCGCGTGCCAACATTGAGTTTTGGGGAGAGGGGGGGTGTTCAGTAATTGTTTCCCTCTACCGTCTCTCTCCTCCGGCTGCGCCCTCTCCTCTTGGTGAGCTCCTTGTTTCTCATCTGCGTCCTCCCCTTCCTGGTTCTCTTCCGCCGTGCCCCTGCGGACAGCTGCAGGAACGGCGGCTGGACAAAACCGACAGGAGCAGCACCACCACCCAGGAGAAGCTCCTGATACAAGACCACCTCAAGGAGCGGTGTGAGAGGAGGGAGGAGGAGGAGGAGGAGGAGGAGGAGGAGGAGGAGAAGGAGGAGGAGGAGGAGGAGGAGGAGGAGAGGAGTAGGAGGAGGGAGGAGGAGCAGGAGCAGGAGGAGGAGGTGGAGGAGGAGGAGGAGGAGGAGACGAGGAGGAGGAGGATGAGGAGGAGGAGGAGAAGGAGAGGAGGAGGAGGAGGAGGGAGAGGAGAGGAGAGGAGGGGAGGAGGAGGAGGAGGAGGAGGAGAGGAGGAGGGGGAGGATGAGGAGGAGGAGAGAGGAGGAGGAGGAGGAGAGGAGGAGGAGGAGGAGGGGAGGAGGAGGAGGAGGAGGGGAGGTGGAGGAGGAGGAGGAGCAGGAGCAGGAGGAGGAGGAGGAGGAGGAGGAGAATGAGAATGAGAATGAGAATGATAATGAGAATGAGGAGGAGGAGGAGGAGGAGGAGGAGGAGGAGGAGGAGGAGCAGGAGAAGGGGGAGCGGGAGGGGGGAGGAGCGCGGGATGAGGGCAGTCTGATCCCCCCCCACAGAAGAGCCTGGCGAAGACGGAGTACGACGTCTCGATGTTCTACTGGCCTGCGGCCAGGCCAGGGTGGAGAGGCGAGCCTCCCCCCCTCGGAGACGGGGGACAGGATGAGTGCGGATGAGTGCGGGCCAAAACGGATCACGAGCGCCTACGCTTTCGTGCCGTGGGAGCGTCGGGCCGCTTCGGGCCGTCCCCGAGCCAGACCCTAAACTCCAGGAGCCCCTACAGGGGCTGGTTAGTGGAGGGGTGAAGCCCGCTCCACAACCGCGTCAGCCTACCCCCGATCACCCTTTGGGCCCCAGGGCGACATGACGGGGGACAGGAGCGGGGGCAGCAGCCTCGAGAGGAGGGTCGGAGAACCGCCCCCTGCAGAGCGGGACGGTCCTCCTCCTCCTCCTCCTCCTCCTCCTCCTCCTCCTCCCTCCTCCTCCTCCTCCTCCTCCTCCCCTCCCTCCTCCTCCTCCTCCTCCTCCTCCTCCTCCTCCTCCTCCTCCTCCTCCTCCTCCTCCTTCCCTCCTCCTCCTCCTCCTCCTCCTTCCCTCCTCCTCCTCCTCCCCCCCTCGGAGACGGGGGACAGGAGCGGGGACAGGAGCGGGGACAGGAAGAGTCGGGCGAGAAAAACCACACAGACACAAGTGATTCCCAGACAGCTCGCAGAGAGCTAAGAGGGTTGCATATTAAGAAGCCGGAGCAGCAGGGTAGCCCCAGAGGTCGTTCCGGCTTCGGTTTTCCAGCGTCGCAGCGACCTGCCCGAGCAGGAAACGTGTCCCGAGAGACCCTTTCTAAGCGTTTCCCGATACGCGTGCCCAGAAGCTCTCCAGAAGGTCCTCCGGAACTTCTCTCCAGGTCCTTCCAGAGTGCTTCAACAGGCCTTTCCACTCCCTCCGGGCGCCCTGCTATCCGGGTTTTGGACCTCACAAGTCGCCGATTCCCAGGAGTATACGGGGAAATCTGGCAAGGGAGGGGAAGAGGAACCTCCAGAGACATGTAAGCACATGGGGAATCCTGGGATCTGTGTCTACTTGCTGTGTGTGTGTGCGTGTGTGCGTGTGTGCGTGTGTGCGTGTGTGCGCGTGTGCGCGTGTGCGCGTGTGCGCGTGTGCGCGTGTGCGCGTGTGCGCGTGTGCGCGTGTGCGCGTGTGCGCGTGTGCGCGTGTGCGCGTGTGCGCGTGTGCGCGTGTGCGCGTGTGCGCGTGTGCGCGTGTGCGCGTGTGCGCGTGTGCGCGTGTGCGCGTGTGCGCGTGTGCGCGTGTGCGCGTGTGCGCGTGTGCGCGTGTGCGCGTGTGCGCGTGTGCGCGTGTGCGCGTGTGCGCGTGTGGCGTGTGCGCGTGTGCGCGTGCGTGTGCGTGTGTGCGTGTGGCGCGTGTGCGCGTGTGCGCGTGTGCGCGTGTGCGCGTGTGCGCGTGTGCGCGTGTGCGCGTGTGCGCGTGTGCGCGCTGTGCGCGTGTGCGCGTGTGCGCGTGTGCGCGTGTGCGCGTGTGCGCGTGTGCGCGTGTGCGCGTGTGCGCGTGTGCGCGTGTGCGCGTGTGCGCGTGTGCGCGTGTGCGCGGTGCGCGTGTGCGCGTGTGCGCGTGTGCGCGTGTGCGCGTGTGCGCGTGTGCGCGTGTGCGCGTGTGCGCGTGTGCGCGTGTGCGCGTGTGCGCGTGTGCGCGTGTGCGCGTGTGCGCGTGTGCGCGTGTGCGCGTGTGCGCGTGTGCGCGTGTGCGCGTGTGCGCGTGTGCGCGTGTGCGCGTGTGCGTGGTGCGCGTGTGCGGTGATGCTCGTCGTGGTCGTTGCGCGTGTTCGCGTGTGCGGTGGTGCGCGTGGCGTGCGTGTGTATGGATGGGGTGCGTGTTATGTTTGCATGTGTGCGTGTGGGCGGTGTGTTGCGTGTGTGGTTGTGTGCGTGTGTGCGTGTGTGGTGTGTGGTGTGTGCGTTGTTGTTGAGTGTGATGTGCGTTGTGCGTGGTGGTGTGGTCGATGGTGTTGCGTTGTGCGATGTGCCGTTTGGGTTTTTTATTTATGCGTGTGCGGTGCGTGTGCGTGTGCGTGTGCGAGTGCGTGTGCGTGTGCGTGCGCGTGCGCGTGTGCGTGCGCGTGCGCGTGCGCGTGCGCGTGCGCGTGCGCGTGCGCGTGCGCGTGCGCGTGCGCGTGCGCGTGCGCGTGCGCGTGCGCGTGCGCGTGCGGGTCTGGGTCTGGGTCTGGGTCTGGGTCTGGGTATCTTGTCTCTGTCTCTGTCTCTGTCTTTGTCTCTGTCTTTGTCTCTGTCTCTGTCTCTGTCTCTGTCTCTGTCTCTGTGTCTGTGTCTGTGTCTGTGTCTCTGTGTGTGTGTGTGTCTGTGTGTCTGTCTGTGTGTGTCTGTGTCTGTGTCTGTGTGTCTGTGTCTGTGTGTCTGTGTCTGTGTCTGTGTGTCTGTGTCTGTGTGTCTGTGTCTGTGTGTCTGTGTGTCTGTGTCTGTGTCTCTGTGTCTGTGTGTCTGTGTGTCTGTGTGTCTGTGTGTCTGTGTGTCTGTGTGTCTGTGTCTGTGTGTCTGTGTGTCTCTGTCTCTGTCTCTGTCTGTGTCTCTGTCTGTGTCTCTGTCTCTGTCTCTGTCTCTGTCTCTGTCTCTGTCTCTGTGTCTGTGTCTGTGTCTGTGTCTGTCTCTGTGTCTGTGTCTGTGTCTGTGTCTGTGTCTCTGTGTGTGTCTCTGTGTGTCTCTGTGTGTGTGTCTCTCTGTGTGTCTCTGTGTGTGTGTCTCTGTGTGTGTCTCTCTGTGTGTCTGTCTGTGTGTCTGTGTGTCTGTCTGTGTGTCTGTGTGTGTGCGTGCGTGCGTGCGTGCGTGCGTGCGTGCGTGCGTGCGTACGTCTGTGTGTGTGTGTGTGTGTGTCCCTGGGCCCCTTCAAAGAGGGAGGGGCAGCAACTCCTCCTGGGCCTCCATCAGACCACGAACGTTTCGACCCCCTCGTTTGGTCCTCCTGGGACGCTTTCCCATGGCACCCTGTGGGTGGACTCACGGTCGACGTGGTGCGCGTGAGCCGGACCCGAGCACCACGCGGAATCGCCGATTCGACCTCGAACCGAAGATCATCGCCGGGTGTTCCTGGCAAAGTCCCGAGCGAGATCGTCGTCTGGATCTCGAATCGGATATTGACGCGATATCGCGATTTCGACCTCGGACTAAGAAGTCTCCATTTCCGCCAGCGTGGTTGTTATGAAGAAGTCTCGACATGTCGCCAGAGCTGAGTTCACGTATATTGCAGCCTTCGGGGAGTTCCGTGGACATCATCGTTTTAAACCGCAAGACGGCTTCGTTGGGAAAACTAGCACGGCCCTGAGATTTCCCCCCTCTCTTACCCTAGGCTACAGTGGAGGCCCACGCCACGAAGCACCCTGCTTGCCCTCGGGGTGCCCTGGGCTTCTTGGGTCTCGGTGGCCTCGCTGTGGAGAGCGGGAGGCTCCCACGCCAGAGATCCATGGCGGCCCCGGGGTCTCAGGGCTGGGCTTCCTCGCAGAAGGCTCCTCGTGGATGGGGCCTCCGCTGCATGCCTGGCGGGCGGACGGGCAGCGGTGACGTCGACCTCCCCCTCTGCCTGGGCGGGCCGGCCCCACGGAGGGCGCAGCGGCCTCCCGGCGACGAGCCTGCCGGGCAGGCAGCGGCACCGCAGCGGACGGGAAGAGGCAGCATGGCGGCGGCGCCGAGGGGGCGGCGGCCTCCCCTGGCACTGCTGCACCATGTCGCCCCCCTACTGTACCATGTCGTCACCTCCTCCCCCTCCTCCTCCTCCTCCTCCTCCTCCTCCTCCTCCTCCTCCTCCTCCTCCTCCTCCCCCTCCTCCTCCTCCCCCTCCTCCTCCTCCTCCTCAGGCGAGGTCCACCGTCACGGACGATTGGGAAGCCTCCCAGGACCAATGGTGGGACACCGCCATCAAGGGCAGCTCTGCCCTCAGGGCGGCCATCGTCCGTGCCTTGATGGACGAGACGTCGCTGTCCATGGGGTTCCACACCGCGACCTTGCTGCTGGACATCCAGAAGTTCTACGACAGCATTGGCTTCTCGCGGCTGCTCCAAGTGGGACTCCGTCTGCGGTTCCCTGCAGTGGTGCTGGCCTTGGAGGCACAGCTCTTCATGGCCCCAAGGCACCTTCGCCAGCAGCGGTGGCTGGGGCCTCGCCTTGCCGCAGCGCTCGGTGGTGGCGGGCAGCTCCCACGGCAACAAGTGCGCGAAGCTGTTCCTGGCGCCCATCTTGCGGGCCGCCCACCTCGAGTGGGAATACGCGCAGCTGTGGACCTTCGTCGACGACACTGTGGCGAGGGCGGAGGGCAAGCTTGAGCACGTTCGCTCCACCATCCTCGGTGTGGCGGAATCCCTCAAGGCTGGCCTCGACGAGCAGCGCTTGCAGGTCTCTGGCAAGACCGTCGCCATCGCCAGCCACCCGCAGCTGGCCAAGGACCTCCACCGCGCGCTGGTGCGCAGAGGCGTCCCCTGTGCAATGGTCCCGCTTCTGACCACTGCCCTGATAGCAATCCTGGATAGATGCTACTCTCTTCTCTGCTCTGACAACGTGTTGAAATCACTGTAGGAGATGTTGAGCTCGTCTCAAAACTGGTCGAATATGAGGGGGCAGTGGCTGTGCGATGCTGATCGCACTATAGTGGTGAACAGGATCTGTTTGTTAGCGGGCAGTTCGCTGCTCTGCGTCTCTTGGACGCACACCAGAAATCCAGCGTCGCTGAGACGCTGCAAGGTCTTGAGCCAGAACGGTTTCGGTTGAACCTGTTCTGTTTGTAATATAGGTTGCAACTTGTTGCTAGGGAAACGGAGGGCCCACTGAGCAAGGCTGGCTGAAACCTGGAGTCTTAGGGGGCCCGATTCGCCGGGAGACGCTTGGCTAACATACACTAGGCTCCTTTGGAGCCTGAAGCTGATATCACGCTCGGCCTCTAGAGGCCATCTGTCGCAAGTAGGCTCTGATGAGGCAGGCTCTGGGCTGTGAATTGCATGCCCAAAAGCTCAAGATCGATGTTACGGCATCGAGACCTGCCTCTGGCAACTGAATTCACAGAAAGCACAGAGCGCGTGAGCGGCTTCACCATGCCCCACAAGGCTGTATCTCCAGCAGGGCTCTCCTGCTCGTCGGGGTTGTCGCGGGCGTAGTAGATCATTGCCTCCAGCATTGCGTTCTCGTCATCGTCCGATATCGGCTTGCCATGGTCGAGCTTGTCCATACCCTCGGTATTGCGCTTCCGGGCGCTGCGGTGAAGGGGGTCGTCCACGAGTCTCCAGCGCTGGCCTGATCTGAAGAACTCCAGCAAGACCTTGGCGGCACGATCCTTGGTCAACCCGTCGGCTAGCATGGCGTCGCTGTGTACCCAGCGTATCTAGAGGGCCGTCTGCTCCTTCTGCTGTCGAATGCCCAGGCACTCGATGCTCGTCCGCTTGTCACGTAGTCCGAGACCAGCTGGCTCACTCTTCTCGATCGCGTCGTAGCCCGACTTACCGTCTGTGACAAGTACGCCAGGGCAGGATGAGATGGCGTCGTTCACGTGCTGCTTGTTGGTGTAGTCCACTTGACCGCACTCCAGCTCGTAGATAAATAGGCGCACGTAACTGATCTCGTCCAGGGTCTCAGTCATCATCTGGACCTCCGCACTCGTACTGCTTCTGGCCACTCTTGGTAGCTTGCACGATCTCCAGGAGATAGGCGCAACCGTCTCTGTCGAGCCACTCAGGAAGGACAGGGGGGCCAGAACAACGATTTCTCCGCCGTGGGACTCGCCGGCGATGCGGGCGGCCCAGGCTGCATCGCCCCAGCCAACCACGTCGATCTGCTCAATGGCCGGGACGAGCATGACCACGTCGGCGGTGTCATTCATGGTGCGGATAAGCTGGTTGATCTTCTGGGTGGTTGAGACCGTGGCCGTAGGTATCTCCGCTTGAAGTAGGGGGACTTCAGCGCTGAGCCACGGGGCCGACTGCTGAGCTCGCCATCCGACTGTACCAAGTCGGCCTCGTAGGTCTGATCTCTCCTTGTCTGAAACTCCTTCTGTGGGTTTCCGTCCACGTCGTATCTTGATGGGCTCCATGTTCAGGCTGTAGCTGTCCTGTGCGAGGCTGCAGGTGTAATCTTCGTTCTGTCGAATGCTGAGGCCGCGCTGCACGAACGCTCGGCTCTCCCAGGGTGTCCATTCGAAAGCTTGTTGAATCTCCTGACGCTTCTTGCGAAAGGCAGAGTTGTTGTGATCGCCGGCAATCATCAGATCGTTGACGTGTAGGATGACCATGCCAACCAGCTTGTTGCCGTCTCGGATGACCCAGACGCAAGGCTCGCACTGCACGATCTCCAGCTTCAGCGTCCTGAGCGCGTCCTTGACATGGAGCCACCACTTGCGAGGAGCATGTACGAACCCGTACATCGGCTTGAGGAATTGCAGTACACCGTCATCTTTCATGCCGAAGGCCTGACGAACATCTTTCGGCGGGTCGGCGTAGATCTTCCTCCTCTCCTCGTCAGTCTCGCCCTGGGGGAAGGCTGTCACTGCGTCTGCCTTCTCCAGCTTCCACTTGTGTCTTGCTGCCATGGCCAGTAGAAGTTGTCGTGCACGTCTTGAGGCAACTGGTGATTCTGTCCGTAGGTGTAGCAGATCGGGGTCGCTGAAGCCAAGCACGACCAATCTGGCTTTGCCTCGGAGCACGTTGCCCTGCTCGTCCTTCTTCCAGGTCAGCACGAAGCGGCAGCGCAGTAGGCGCGCCGGGTCGATCCCCTTGCGGCTGAGGATCCCAACGGCCTTCGTGCTGAGGACGGAGGTGCACTCCTTCTGCTGGGCCTCAAGTAGCAGCTTCTTTTCCTCAGGCGTCGCCTTCTTGAAGGAGACCTCCACTCGGCCCTTCTGGGCCTGTGATGCCACGAAGTTGCTGGGATCGTCCATGTAGGTCATGAACGCGTGCTCGTTGCTGATGGGGTTGTCCAGCACGATGAGCTCGTCGTACTCCTTCGTCTCGTCGTACTGCTGGACGCTGTAGGCGTAGTCCCCGTAGAAGTTGCCCTCCTGCAGGTAGTAGGAGAAGGCCTCCAGGGTCGCGACGTTGATCCGCTGCTTCTTGGCAGGTGTCTCGGTTGAGCCAGGCGACCGCAGCTGGCGCTTATCGTTCACGTTGGGCGCCGTAGTCCCGTCGAGGTCGTCGTCCGTGTCCACCGCGATGGGCTGCTGAGACGCACGCTCCGCTTGGTCGTCGTCGGGAGGGGCCTCCATGACGATCTCCTCTTCTGCAGGTAGCTCGGCTTCTTCTTGGTGTCCAGCTTCGTGACCTCCCTCTTGTGGAATGCCTGGTGGTGCTTCTGGCTGTACTGGCTGTATGAGAGGGTTCTTGGACCTCGGGCGCCTCGGTCCAGGGATTGCCCTTCTTCCGAAGGCGCCTTGGAGGTCGCGGTCCGGGAAGAGGTCGCTCTTCCAGTCCTGGGGGTGCCTCGATGGCTCCACCACCTCCGCCGCCGCCTCCTCCTCCTGGGCCCAAGCTCCGAGGATCTCCTCGTGGCACGGGTAGTTCCGCGCCCTCAGGAATGGCCCAGGGTCCGCTCGCGTTGCCCTCGAAGGCGCGAGCGCTGACAGACTCGCCATCGTCAGCGGCAAGGTCCTCACCAGTGGGCGGGGACTCGTTCGAAAGGTCGATCACCTCGTTCTGGTCGAGCAGCTTCTGGACGTCGCCGAAGTTCCACGTCCCCGGCTGCTCGCGACGCGAGCGTAGAGAGTCCATCGCCTCTTCGGAGGGCGTAGCAGGTCGAAGCTGTTCTGGGGCAACTCGGTAGAGGCGTCCAGCCAGTGTGATGTTGACCACCGTCCCAGGTAGACCAGGTCGATGTCCCGAGCTCGATGGCTCGTGGCAGAGTACTCGTCCAGGTCCGTACCAGCGGCCTCGCCCAGGCATGGAGCGGGGTCGGCCCTTCTTGATCCAGGCTCCTGGTGGGAGCTTCCTGTAGACGAAGACCAGGTCGCCCGTCTCGTACCTCTTGAAAGACCTGAAGCGCGCGGCCTCCGCCCGTTTGACTCGGTCGGAGTTCTCGATCTGGATGTGAGCCAGCCGGGCCATTCGTCGAATTTGGGCGCCCCTGCTGAAGGTGTCATCCTGCAGCTCGGCGCTGATGAGGGGCAGATTGTTCGGCTCGTCGGACAGGTTAACCGTGGTCCCCGTCGGGGTCCGTCCCGCATAGCGCTGCAGTGGGCTGAACCCGTCGATCCTGATCAGGTCGTTCCTGGCAGCTGTCTGGAGTCCAATCATCTCGCTGGTGGTACTTCAGCTGAGACCATCTCGTCGAGAGCGTCGAGGGCCTCCTTGAAGGCTTCTATCGCGCGCTCAATCTTGCCGATCTGCCAGTGGGCGTCGGCCGCGCATGGAAGACAGTAGACTCCCTGGCTCTCGATCCACTCGCGGAACTCGTTAGAGATGGCGCTGCCAGCGGGGTCGTAGCGCACGACCTTCGGACGTCCCATCCAGGGAAACCACTTTGTCGCAAAGATATGCCGAAGGTCGCCGGCACGAACTTGTCGGGTCGTACCCGGGATCTGCTTCTCGTCGATCAGCCGCACGTAGAGGATGTCTGAGCCGGCGTCGAGGATCGCCAGCGCCATCGCGTTCGTCTTCTTGCTGCGACGGATCCATGAGAAGGCATCGAAGAGAACCTCGTGACCGTTCTGCGGCTGCTCTGCTGATGATGCTGGTGGCCGCTTCGTCGGTGGACGGTGCGCGCCGCAGATGTCGCACTTGAATGTCCTGGCCAGTCGTAGCACCTCTGGGCGAGCACCACGGTCACGAAGGTATCGTAGTAAATGCGCTCGAGATAGATGTCCAAGGTTGGTGTGCACCAGTCTGATGTAGCTCTCGATCTTCTTGATTTTTTCTTTGGTGAGGTTGTGAGTCTCCTTGCCGTCTTGTAGTGGAATCGACGGCTCGTCCTCCACGGGCGTAGGCTCCGTCGGTGGCCGCTGGGTAGCTGCCATGCAGAGGCACTTCACAACCTCGTCCTCGAAGTAGTTCTGGTTCTGGCTCTTAGTCAGAGCCCGGAGGATCCGGCGGCACAGCATCTTGGGGTGGTAGCCCGAAGCCTCGGTCCTCAAGCTGCTCTCGATCTCCTCGTGGTAGTGTCCTCCACGGCATTGTAACGGCTGTAGGGCTACCCAGATCTTCTTGTCGTTCGTCAGAAACTTCCAGCGCTTCTTCATGAGCTCGCCTGTGTCGGGAGCTCTTAGTCCTCAGGCGCAGCCGTCCACGATCACCTCGTAGGGGAGGATCTTGTGGAGATCCTTCCAGCAGGTCTTCTGCCACGACCGACTGTTGTGTGGCTGCTCGGCGAGGGCCGAGCCGTTCAGATTGAACACCTGGTGCTCTATGGGCCTCTTGTTGTTCTCGAAGATCCGCTGGCTCTTGAGGCGCTTCCTACGAAGGTTCTCACTCTGTCTGTCATCGCGCTGGTTGACGTTCTGCATTATCGACCAGGGTCCGCAGGGTGGAGTGCTGACGAAGAGCTCCGGGCGCTTCTCGTCCAGCAAGAACTTCGCCCTGTGGCAACCCTGCGGCTTGCTGGGGTCGTTCTCGTTGAACAGGCCGAGACGCTCGTAGTGGTAGGCCACTCGTCGCACACCTTACCGAGGTTCGAGTCCTCGTGGGCGCGCGCTTCGACCATCGTCAGGCGGCCGAAGGTCGTGAGGGCGCACATAGCTCCGAAGATGGCCGGTCTCGTCATGTGAGTAGCTGCACGGATCGCCTGACGCTGATGACCTTTCAGCGGCCAGCTCTCGTCGCTGTGCCAGCGCGACCTCTCGGCCTGAACCTCACTCAGGCCCTCGCCCTGGCCGCGCACGCCTGGTGGCACCACCCGTAGGGCCTCACCTTCACGATCGGCTCGTTCTTCGCGATGCCTCGGCATAGCTTGCAGTCCGGGTGCTGGCACATCTGCGTGTAGTGAGCTGGGATCGCCGGGCTTACAGTCGTAGGCGCCGTCTCCGTCTTCTTCGTCTCGGTCTCCATCTTGATCTTGATCGTCGCTGCCGCCGTGCCGCGCTGCTCGATGATGTACGCTATGATCTTGTCGACCACCTCCTCCTTCTTGCCCGACTGGGTCAACCCCCCCATCTTGCACAGGGGCCTGAGGTGGTTGCCCAGCGTGACCATGCTGAGCTGCTCGCGTATCTGCTCTGAGCTCAGCGCTGCAAACGCATTCACTTCCGCAAACTTGGTCAAGAAATCGGACTTTGCGGTCTCGATGGTGGCCCGCAGCTCTTGGTTCTGCTCTCGCGCGGCCGCGGCTGTCTACTACTTCTGGGGGCGCTGCTTCGCCTTCGTGCTCGGCGGACACTGCTCGATCTTCGCACGGTGCTCGAGGTCCGTCGGCCAGGTCGGGTACTTCTCTGGTAGCAGCTGCACAGGTAGGCCGAGACTGTCCAGCTTCCAGTTCACGTGGTCGATCGTCTTCAGAAATACCTTCTGCATGACCCGCCCCGAGCGGCGGCACTGTGTCCACTGCCGGAGGAACTTGCTCGACCACATCTCCCAATTCGGCAGGTGTTCCAGTAGGAAGATGTCCGTCATCCGCTTCATGCTGTTGTCCAGCTCCGAGCCCTCGACCGTGTAGAAGATGTTGCCCTTCGTGTCCTGATGAGCGATCAGCCGCCCCTGCGGCAGCATCCGTTGTTGCGTAGGCCTCGTCGACGTCGGCGAGCGGAACGTCGCCGAGTCTCCCGAGTCCACCAGAGGCACCCGAACGTCCACCTGCTCCCAGGGGCCGTCCATCTCCTCGTTCTCCAGCTTCACTTGCTGGCTCTCTGCCTTGCGGCATTTCGTCTCGCGGTTGAGGCTCATGCGAATATGGAAGGCAAGCTGGTTGCCGAAATCGGAGTTCTGAGCTCGGATCGTTCGCAGCCCAAATGGCTCTGGAAGATGGTGGCGTTTCCGTGTGGAGCGCTGGGAACTCGGGGATCTCTGGGAAAGCCTCTGAAGGTGACCCTGATGATGTCATAGCTGAGGCCGTAGGGGCTGATATAGATGATGTCCAAGACGTTTTTATTGATGATGTCCCCGGAGGCGTAGGTGATGATGATATCCCTGTAAGCGTAAAGGATGACGGTGTCCCCGTAGGCGTAGGTGATGATGATGTCCCCGTGCTCGTAAGTGCTGATGATGTGCTTGAGGCCTGCAGGGCTCCATGATCTGGGACCTTGTCGGGGACCTTATGGGGCACAGATGCAGGTGGTTCGTCAGTCTTGCTTTCGATCGGCTGCTCATTTTCATGTTTTCCCTCCGGCACCGTAGCAGTCTCGGGTGTCGAGGGCGTGGACCCCTACTCGAGGGGTGCCACGAAGCCAAAATCGGCTTGTTAAACAAGTGGCAGTGCAAGGTGACCGCTCGGAAGGACGAGCAGTTCAGCTCGGCGTCCGAGCTTCTTGAAGTAAACAGAATGTGCCTCGCAGTCGATCGCAGCTCCAAGGCGGCTCAGAACATCCACTCCGATCAAGAGCGGGGCATCTGCGTCGAGGATGTTAATCTCGAGCTCGCCGTCCACACCAGCAATCTTGAGAGGAAAGGTAGCCTTGCCGGTGCAGGTCTTGGAGCTGCCGTCTTCAAAGATAAAAGTACTCTTCTGGCTAACGTCCATCTTGATGTTCTGGCCCGTCTGCTCGTAAATGATGTCGCGTATGTTCTCGGCGGCCTATGCCCATGATGCTGGAGGTTGCGCCGATGTCCAAGATTCCGAAACCCTTGGAGGAGCTCTGCTTCACACTCATGAGGATCCAGTCGTCCAGCTTCTCCAGTGTAGGCCAGATCGGCAGCTTGACGCGTTGAACTCGATCCCGCTTCTCGATGGACTTCTCCGCCTGAAGATACTGGGTCTTGTCGAGCTGCCTCTTCTCCTGCTTCGGCTTGTTCTTGATCGCCGGCTTGTGGAGCATCTCAGTCTCCAGCTCGATGCGGGTCGTCTCGTTCGTAATGAGGTTGGCCTCCATCTCGGCGCCCTGCTCGGCGCCGAAGAAGACGAAAGCTCCAAAACCTCGCTTTGGGCGTTCACGATCTCCTTTGCTGCCGGCCGATGAAGCGCGATCTCGATGATCCTTCGTCTCGCGATTGCCTCCGCACTTCAGACATGGCCCCTTCCGGGACGGCCGACCTTGGGAGCGATCTCCATCTCGTCGAGGCGGTCCATCACGTCGTTGTCCGCTCCCTCGGCCTCGTCCTTTACTCGATGATCCAGAGCCTCGGGATCCAGCCCGGGGCCCTTGAAACTTGCGCTGTCCTCCGCGACCTTCTCGCTTCTTATTCTCATCCACGGGGTAGAACTTCCTTGCTGTCTTGACTCGTCGAAGGAGGTCTCTGGCTTCCTCGAAGCTGCGCTGCTGGGCGGCGAACGCGGTCTCGGCGTCCTCGATCTCCTGGGCACTGTAGAGCGGCTCCTCGGGATCTCCTTCGTCCTCGTCGCCGTCGCCATCCTCGTAGGAGACCTCCGATTGCTCTCCATCGTAGTAGCTGTAGTCGTCGTCGTCCTCGCTGTTCTCCTCCCAGCCGGCATGGATTCGACCTCGCTCTCGATGGCGATGGTTGTCCTTGCCCTGCTTCTTGTCGCGATTCGTCAACTCATCGTCGGGCCAAGATACTCGCAACTGCTCTCCAATGCTGTCGTAGTCGAAGTTGCCCTTGACTGCGCTGATCACTGCTGCACGTTCGGTCGGGGACAATCTTGATCTCTGCAGCAGTAGCCATCCGCGCAGTTGGTCCAGAGGAATCGCCTGATTGAAATCGGTACCGAAATCTGGATGCTTGGGTATCTCCTCTAGGCCGTTGCTGACGGAATTCCAGAGACGCCAGTTGAGGTCCTTCGCTACTTCTGCAGCATCTTCCGGGCCCTCATGATCGATCTTGTAAAGAAACCACTTCAGCTCACTGTAGAGGGTGTTCCATAACTTGGATCTCTCGGAGAGTCGGGCCGTACGCTGCTTCTTGAAATACTCGGTGCCAAACCATTTCACAACGTCGTGGTAGGCCTCGTCGTCTCTGCTGATATAACTCGGCATCGGCTCTCCTGTATCTCGGCGTAAGTCGAATATCCATCTCGCGAGGTACTTGCCTGCATCCTGGATGGGCTGGGCTCCGAGTTTCGCTCGAACATGTCGTAATAGCTCCGCAGCTCCATCATCTTTCTCGGTGCGGTCCCAGTCCACGTCTTTGGCTGCTTGTCGTGCTCGACCTTCGAGTCGTCTCCATAATCGTGGGCCGCACACATACCGTTCATCTCGCCTCGTCCCTCGGATGTAGGCTTTGACGTCTCTCTCGTAATCGTCCACCGTGGTGAGATCTCCATTCCACTTGGGTATAATGTCATCGTTGCCGTTGTTCTTCGTCATGGCTCACACAATGAAACTGATGTCCGTGAATCTGTAGTCCGTGGAGCTTGGCAGCTCCGCTACCATGCAATGGTCCCGCTTCTGACCACTGCCCTGATAGCAATCCTGGATAGATGCTACTCTCTTCTCTGCTCTGACAACGTGTTGAAATCACTGTAGGAGATGTTGAGCTCGTCTCAAAACAGGTCGAATATGAGGGGGCAGTGGCTGTGCGATGCTGATCGCACTACGGTGGTGAACCGGATCTGTTTGTTAGCGGGCAGTTCGCTGCTCTGCGTCTCTTGGACGCACACCAGAAATCCAGCGTCGCTGAGACGCTGCAAGGTCTTGGGCCAGAACGGTTTCGGTTGAACCTGTTCTGTTTATAATATATGTTGCAACTTGTTGCTAGGGAAACGGAGGGCCCACTGAGCAAGGCTGGCTGAAACCTGGAGTCTTAGGGGGCCCGATTCGCCGGGAGACGCTTGGCTAACATACACTAGGCTCCTTTGGAGCCTGAAGCTGATATCACGCTCGGCCTCTAGAGGCCATCTGTCGTAAGTAGGCTCTGATGAGGCAGGCTCTGGGCTGTGAATTGCACCCTGCGAGGCGACCAACCACGCGGTGGACCTCGGCGTGGACACCACCGCGGGGCGCGTGCGCACGCAGCGCAGGGCGCTCACCAGGAAGAAGGCGGGGCAGAGCCAGTTCCGCCGCATCTTCAGGATGAGGCGCCACGTCCAGCTCTCCCGCGTTACCAAGGCGCTGTGGTCCACGGCGGCGCAGCCGAGGGCGACGCACGGCCACCAGGCCTATGGCCTTGCTCCCTCGGCCATCCTCAGGCTGAGGCGGAGTGCCCCACTGTCGGCAGCGGGCAAGGGGCCTGGGAGGTGCCTCACGAGCCTCCTTGCCACGCTCCACGGCGACAAGGAGCCTGGCCTCGAGCTCAGGCGTCAGCTCCTGGGCGAGTGGCTCGACCTCTGGAGGCGGGCCCCGCTGCTCCACAGGCGCATCGAGTGCGCGTGGCCCATCGTCTTGGCCAAGTTGGAGAGTGCGGGGCCCAAGCGAAGGTGGCGTGCTGTGTGTGGCCCCATGGCTGCGCTCATGGCGATGCTGCTGGACGCGGGGTGGTCTCCGACTACGGCTCGGTCGTGGACGACGTCCACCGGTGTGGAATGGCGCCTTCCTGGCCACGAGGACTTGGACATGGACTCGTCTGCGGTGCAGGGCGAGTTCGTGGCGGACCTCAAGCGGGCGATGTGGGGCGCGGCCAGCAAACACCTGCACGGCGACGACTTGTGCGAGGGTGCCGATGCCACCATCATCGCTCGCGAGCAGCAGCGCTACCTTTCCAGAGGCCAGATGGATATGTACGCGTAGAACGTCGCGGTCACTTCAGGTGGCCAATGGCCGCGGGTCAGGCAGAGAGACGCGGGCTACGAGCTTGAGTCCGTCACCTGCCCCCGCTGTGGCCATGAGGACGAGACCTTGCATCATCGAATTTGGTCGTGCCCTGCGAGCCGAGGGTGCAAGGAGCACGGCTCCACCAGCCACCTTGCGGGACAGGCTCGCGTGCAGCATGAGAGCCAGCCGTCGCTGTGGCTCCGTGGCCTCCCCGCGCTGCGCCTCACGACGCCGCTGCGCGACGAGGACTTCGCGGAGTGGTCCTTCGAGGTCGGCGACTTCCGAAGGGCCCGTGGAGCTGACGGAGCGCTTCATCTTTTTGGAGACGGCAGCGGGGGGGGGGCCACACAGCGGACCCTCGCCGTCGCCGCTGCGGAGCTGCTTGTTGGTCCGTCTCCTTCGACCAGGAGGCGGGCGCCCGGTGCCTTGAGGGAGGCATGCTGGGCGGACTGCCAGCGCGCCAGACAGTTCCACGCGCGGAGCTCCTGGCCTTCGCCCTTGCCGTCGAGGCGACAGAAGGTCCCTGTGTTTTCTTACACCGACAATCGTGCCTTGTACCTCGGTTGGCTCTCGGGTAGGCAGACCTCTCCTCTTGGGGTGAACGGGGACCTCTGGGCTCGTGTGAAGCGGGGATTGGCCTCCAGAGGGCCCCTGGGGGCCGCCGAGATTTCTGTTGTGTGGATCCCGTCCCATATGGACGAGCAGGCCCACCTTTTGGTCTCGCCTAGTGTGGTCTTCCGTGCCGCTGGAAACGCCTGTGCTGATGCCCTGGCGGGTGTTGCGGCCCAAGAGGCCCTCTCTCGGGGGCTCGTCGGCACCGTCCCGCACACGGATGTTTGGGACACCATCGCTGCGCAGGTTAGGACTCGTGCACGGAAGGCCCTTGTAGATACGTTCGAGGTCGACGCTTGGGAGGCTAAGAGGCCTCCGAAGATTCGGTCTGCTCCTCAGCCAAGGCTCACCCGAGCCTTGGCGGCCAGCCAGCATGCCTGGACCCCCGTCCAGGGTGGTAGCTGGCTGTGCTCCGTGTTCCGTCTCCTGGTTCCTGGGTCCAGGGTCGAGGAAGCGGCCGAGTCTTCGTGCACCCCCGTCCCTGCCCCTAGGGTTGGCGGGGGTGTCGGCGTCCCGAGCAGCACTGTCAGGAGCAATTCGTATTCGATCCTTGGGAACCAAGTGGTCCACCCGTCTCATGAATTGTACCTGTGGCAAGAGCACAGTTTGTATGTTTGCAATGTGTGCGGTTTGACGGCCACCCTGAAGTTGGTTGGGCTCGCCAAGCCGTGTGACCGCCACTCCAGGAAGGGGCGAGAGAATCTCACACGGATCTGGGATGGTAAGGTCCCTAGCTACGCGGGCTTGCCACAGGGGGCCAAGGATGCCTCCCTGATTGTCCAGTCAGGGGTAGGGTCGGCTCCTGTCGAGGGCTCCAACGAGGGACCTCCAGAGAGTTCGTAGGTTGGTAGGCGGGACAATGCGTCCCTTTGTATCTCGTATCTCTTTTCCTCCTCCTCCTCCTCCTCCTCCTCCTCCTCCTCCTCCTCCTCCCTACTCCCTCTCCCTACTCCCAGGTGCAGGGCTGCTTGTGGTCGGGCCCCTGCTGTGCCATGCCCTCCCCGTCCCCTCCCGGTGCGTGACGCACGGGCAGCAGGCACCGAAAAGTGCCTCCCGCGGTGGTGGCTGCAGCCCCCGCGCACAATCTGGGCTGCCGGGGGCCCCCTCTTGTCTGCCCTCCGCCTTCTCCTTCTGTCCTTCCGCTCCGCTGTTTCCCTGCGCTTTCTCCGGGAGACATTGACAGGGGGGAGGAGAAGGTGGGGGGAGGTGAGATGCATGTTCGTGGCTGTCCGGGCCAGTCGATTGTTGTTCCCCCCGCTTCCCCTTCTCCCTTTACGTGCCCCTGTACTTCGGACCAGCGCCGCCCCCTCGGCCGTTCCCAGGAGTGTTGAGGACAGCGAGGCCCATGTCGCTCCCGTGTGTTTGTTGCACTCGTTGGCTCCGTCCTTTGAGTTCGGCCCTTCGGGGCCCATAGAGGCACGCGCACAATAGTGAGCGCATCGAGTCGACAAAAAAGTCGCTCTTCTGCCGTTGCTTTCCCTCTCCTCGCCTTTCCCGGATGCCCGTCATGACTTGCCAGGCCGCGCTTCCACCTTGGCGCAAAACGGCATCTTCGAGAGGATTGCTTCCTCCTCCTCTGGGCCAGAGGAGCTGGAGGAGGAGGACCTATAGGAGGAGGAGGAGGAGGAGGAGCAGGAGGAGGAGGAGGAGGAGGAGGAGGATCAGGAGGAGGAGGAGGAGGAGGTGGAGGAGGAGCGATAAGGAATCACGCTGGGCATGATGACGTGGTGGTATTGGTGATGATGCCTTCTATTCGCCTGCTGGTCAGAGATGCGTCCTTTCTATTGGAATGGGAGCGGAGGGGAGAGGGCAACTCGCCAGAACCAGACAGTCTTGACCGCAGCCGCCGGGAGCAACTCACCCGAACAACACGATGCTGACTGCAATCGCGGGAACAACTCACCCGATCAACACGATCTTGACTCAGGCATCCCCAGGCCACGGCACGATGATGACCCAGTCAGGTCGCAAACAACACGATGTTGACTGCAACCGCGGGAACAACTCACCCGATCAACACGATCTTGGCTCAGACATTTCCAGTCCACGGCGCGATGACAACCCACTCAGGCCGCATTCGCAAGGGCTCCCTCATGTCTCCTAATGCAGCGCACGCAGTTTTGGTAGTTCGGAGCTTCACGCGTGGCTGGCCTGCCTTTGATGGGCAAGCGTGTCAGGGATGTTTAAACGACGGCGTATAATGACACCTTCGAGTGATGCGACGTCAAGGGGGTGAACTTGAGGGTTGCTTCGCGTGGCTGCTGGCTCAACGGACACTCCTGAGGCCACGAGGGTACGAGGCGCCGTGCTTGCGCATGTCTCGAAGCTGGCCCATTCATACAAACGCAACTTCGTGGTCTGAGCTTTTCAACGTTTCTGGTGCGCAGATTTTTTGACTTGTAAGGAAAAGGGCGGGAATGGTGCCCAGCGGTGCCGCGCCAACGTTTCCGTCTCGCGTTCGCGTCGTCGTTCGGGCCGTTGCCGTTCAGTTCAGTACTGGAAATCGTTGCCTTATGAACGATGGCCCGAAAGTTTGGCATTGCGCCCGCGCGGGTGTCGACACTTCGCTTGATTTGCAGGGGGGTCGATCTTGCGCGCGACCTTGTTCAAGCGACGCCGTGGCGAAACACATGAGGAAGAGGTTGGCAGGGCTATCGAGACAGGGGCGCGTCGGTTACGGGGGCTGCGCTTTGGCGTTCACGGCCCATGTCGCCGCGCGCTAGCGGGCTAGGGCGGCTGAGGGCAGTCGGGAACTACACTCCAGGAAGGAGGCGTGGCGCGACGTTAGACATGTCAGCGGGGAGCGGGCGGACAGGTTTGGGGCGAGAGTGACGTGCGAGGGGCGGGGTTTATGATCTCGACCTTCGTGAAATATCCACCCGCCACGCGCAGGCGCATCGCGGCTATGGTTATACATACGTTTGTATGTATGTCTGTACAATTATTTGTATTTGTGTTGCCGTGTCCGTGCGCGTGTGCTCCCATGAGTTCTCTGGCAAGCGACGCCGCGCAACGCGCAGTCGGTTCCAATCGGGCCCCAAGGCTATCCTTTCCGAAAGACGCTCGCCAATGCGCGGACACACGCGACATAACAGGCGCGACGCGTTGCAGACTGGAGGCGATGGCCTCCAGACTGCGCGCGATCGGCCAGCGGGCATGCTGGGGGGCCGCGCGCGATGGCATGTCGCCCTGTAGCCGATGGTGCGCTGGCGCGGGACGGGGTGCTTTGTCGCGGGAATCTCGCCAGGGCGCGCGGGGCATTGTGCGCGCGGCCTGGCGCTCCTCCTCCCTCTCGTCTCCCCACGGCTGGAAGATCCGGCCCGCCCGTGGCCGACGCGTGCCCAGAGGGCGGTCACCTGGTGCCTGGCTTTGCCGGGCGTGTCGGATCTTTGCTCTGCGACTTTGGACGCCCGACATGGGTACGGAAAGAATGGGTACAATGTCCAACAACAAATGTTGTTCCAAACCAACAGCGGCCGCTGTTGGGCGGGCGGCTCTCTGTCTCAAATGGACACAGGCCGCGGCGGCGCGGACAGCGAGTCCTGTTCAAAATGAACAGGAACTGCTGCTGGGCATCGTACCCATTCTTTCCGTACCCATTTCGGGCGTCCAAAGCGACGGTTCCCAGCGCCCTGTGCGAGGATCGAGTGAGAGGGTGCTCGTGCGCAGCGCCGCGAGAGTCGCCGCGCCCGCGGGGCCCTGTGCCAGTGAGCGGCGTCCTCGGGGGCACCACCCGCCGGCGGAGCTCCCGCGGTGTTCGGGGGGCGCACTGTCGGACTTTCTCTCCTCGTGCACTGGGTCAGGTCAGGAGAGAAAGAACACACCGACACAATTCATCGTCGATTCCCCTGAAAATATGGGGAAATTTGGGAAGTGGGGGGGGAGACAAAAACCCTGAAAATATGGGGAAATATTGGGGAATCTTGTTATTTGTGTGTGTGTGTGTGTGTTGATTTGTGTGTCCCAGGGCCCCTTCATCAGGGAACTTCGCCCACAATCACGGGGGGGGGGGGGGTCACTGCTCACCAGCTCGTTGGACTCCTGACTCACATGCCCAGTCCTGGTGGACACCCGCTGCAAAAGTCAGTGGGTGCCGGGGCTGCGGGACCAGGAGGCCTCCGGAGGCTCCGCTGGCCGCGGCGGGTCCCGACGTTCTTCTGGAGCTGTCCGGCGGCGTGGAGAATTCCAGGAGTTGTCAATTGTCAACAGCATCCGGAAGCCCAGACCCCCCATCCTCAACCTCCTCGTGAGCGACATCGAGCAGGAAAAGGGTGCGGTTCACGAAAAGAGCGACTGTGACGGGCCTGTTTCCCACCACCACCCGATAGGCTGGGAGGGGGAAGGAGGTGGAGCATGAGGAGGAGGAAGAAGGGGATAAGGAGGAGGGCCCCCTCCCGCTCCTACTTATAGGGGTGGCGGTGGAAAACAAGCCCACCAGCCAGCTTGGGCCACGGGGTCCCCGCGCCCAGCGCCTTGGTCTCTTCTCCCGCCTCCTCCGTGGCTCTGCTCCTCCCCCCTTGTGTCACGCATCCTCGGCGGCACGCCTCGAGAGGCAGAGCCGCAGAGGCATCAGGCTTGCTTCGCGATGTCGCGCCGGAGTAAGTCCTGGTCGCAGCGCGGCGCGTTTCGCTGTGCCGGCTGGGATGCAACAGCTCGTGGTGGGTGCTGCGTTTCGTTGGAAAGACTGGGCAGGGCAGGGAGCTGGACGAGGAGGAGGAGGAGGAGGAGGAGGAGGAGGACGCTTCCGCAGGACCACTCTGGCGGTTATTGTTGCCAACGCCATCTTGAGGGCTGCGCCCGCGGCCGCCCCACAACCCATCCCCTCCTGACGCGCAGAGGGAGACAGGGGCAACTGGAGGGTTTCTTCGAAGGGCTTAGGCGACCCGTCCTCCTCTTCCTCCTCCTCCTCCTCCTCTTCCTCCTCCTCCTCCTTCTCCCCCTCCTCCTCCTCCTTCTCCTCCTCCTCCTCCTCTTCCTCCTCCTCCTCTCAAGCCTTTTCGGCCCTGGCCACATTATCCAGGACTGCCCCAGGACTTTCCCGAGGTGCTTGAGGAACTTCCGTGCACCTGCCCAGGCGCAGGTTTTACGGTCGACCAACGCTGGGGGTCATGGGGCGCCAAGCGCCACGCTCCCCCGCAGCCGCGGGCGCACCGTGGCACCAGGCGGGCACCACCCGCTTGTGGAGCCGATGCCGCGGTACAACGCATGCGAGTACAACGACCTGTTGGACCCGATCAAGCCCGTCTGCCCTCGCTGTAACAGGCTGATGTAGTTGCATCGCGCACGTTCGCGGGGTCCGAGCGTGGAGGCCTACGAGGTCGAGGATGCGGACACACCCATGGCCGCCACAGGCGCACGACGCCATCACAGCCGCACCTCCCTCGCCGCCCACCTCAAGCAGGCAATCGCTGTTGCCACGGACCCTGCCCTGAAGGCCATCTTCAGTGCGCAGGTCCAGCGCACCATGTCCGACGAGGACACCACCGTGCAGGTCAGCGAGTCTGAGATCATGCGCAAGGCAGACGGCGCTGGGAGATCGGCAGTCAACCACCACAGCCAAGTCGTCAGCAACGTTATCAAGCTCCGCAAGGCGCTCGAGGCCTCCGAGGCCAAGGAGAAGGAGGCCGCCCTCCAGGTCGCCCGCACCGAGCAAACCAAGAGGCGCGCTGCGGAGGCAGTGGCAGGGGTCGGCGGTGGCGAACCGACCTTTGTTCACGCCCATGCCACACACGGCGCCCAGAAGCCATTCACCATCTCTTGGGGCCCAGAGCTATTCCGCAATATCGACGAGCTGGAGTTCACCGAGGCGGAGCAAATGGAGCTCGACGCAGTGAAGAAGGGTCTCGAGGAGTTGCAGCAGCAGTTCGCCACGAAAGGGCCGCAGGTCTCCTCGCTGATTGAGCGAGCTCAGAAGGTTCGCCAGGCGCAAGAGGCCAGCTACCTCAAGAAGCGCAGAGGCGAGGGCGGCGCAGCCAGCGCCCCAGCCCACGCCGAGTCCGCCACCGCAGGCGCACCGCCCCGCGGCTCAGGTGACGCACCAGCCGCAGTTGGCAGCACCACTCGGCCCAGTGTCGCCGAGCCCGAGGAGAGAGAGGCAGCGCTCGCAGCCGAGGCCGTCAAGTTGTCTGCCGCACGCTTCGCCGCTGAGCAGGCAGCGGAGAAGGCCGGCCGCTCCGCCAGGCCAGCCGCCGCGCAGCCGCCCAAGAAGGGCAATGGGGGGCAAGACAGGCGGCGGGCGCTCCCAGCCATCGTGGCTAGGCAGAGCAGGGCTTTTCAAGGCGGGCCAGACGAGTGACCCTACCAAGTCTGAGCCCGCCGACGCTACCAGCGCCAGTGAGTCCCCACCCTTCTATTGCACAGTCACCTGCATGGGCCGGGGGACTATTGATTGGATTGCCACCTGCAAGGATGACTTCCTTGGTTCGGTCGAGGCCCACATCGCCGATGGCAGCGTCGGCAAGTGAAGAGGCCGATTCAGCGACATCAATCGCTGGCTTTTCGCCAACCCTGCCCGTCCTGCCAAGCATGGCCAAGATGTTGGGGGACTCGACTCCCGATGTAAATCAGAAGTCGCACATCGGCATGCCAGCGAAGGCGGCGAGTGGTTCTTGCCCTGGGGCCATCTCAGAGCCCATCCTCTTCTAGAAGGAGTCCAGTCCACAGGGCTCCAGTGCCCCCCCTCCTCCTCCAGCCCTGCTGCCTTCCTCCCTGTGGTGCTCCGCTTCAAGGGGTTCTCCATCGTTGCTGTCTTCTTTTCCTGTCTTTGCAATGTCGGCGTGCGAGGGCCGCGCCTTCTCCGATCTCGGCGACTCGGGGGCCTCCTCCGCCCCCTCCAGCCCCCCTGGCTCGTGGGCGGGGACTGGGGCGCCAGCCCCGAGACGCCCGGCAAGTCAGGCGCCTTGGAACAGATTTAGGGGCCCATCACGGCGCGCGCCTGTCGAGTATGCGAGCGGCCCAGGGGGCGGGCGCGAGCCATCGCGCGTGGATTTCATTGTTCATGGCGCTGCTGCCCGCCCGTACAGAGCCCCCCCGCGCTGCCAGGCCGGGCCCCGCGGCCAGCCGCGCCAGAGCCGCCCGCTCTGAGCAGCAGGGCCAGGCAGAGGCCAACATACAACGTCTCTGCGCCACTTTGACTTGAGATTTTCTCCAGGGCAAGGATCTCGCTGAGCGGGCCACCAGTGCTGGAGAGACCTCGGCTGGCACCGACGTCGAGCCCTTCGACTGCCAGTCAGACGAAGACGATCCGTGTGCACGCGAGAGCTGTTTCAGGCCAGCTGCGCCTGCTCACGCTCCGAATTCTGCTCGCGAAGAGTCAAAATACCTCTCGTCTCGCCCATCGTTGGAGCGCCAGGTCTTGCAACCCAGCCAACCATTTACGTGCGCAGAGAGATTTTGCTCAGTTCAGCGCAGTCGAACCCACCCAGCCTACCCAGTCTGCCAGCGAAAGCTCTGATGCAGTCGGACAGTCGGACGGTTCTGATCGCCCTATTTCGCCCGCCCTGCGCCCCCCCCCCCCCCCCTAGCGAACCCGAGTCCAGGGGCCTGGTCTCAGTGCCATCGAAGCCCCGCACTCCAATTTACAGTGAGCTCTGGAGTGTCAGCGGGGAACAAATCGGTGTTCTGCCCTTTCACAGGTCTCGGCCTGGTCCCGCCGCTGCTGCCCCCGTAGCCTTTCGGCTCAAGCCTGATGTGCCCTTTCAGCTCGGGCAACTCCACGGTTCGTGGGTCACCGCCGTGGAGACATCCATGCGCGCGCCACCAGATTCCCCTCGCTGGGACCTATCGGGCTACAGGCCCACAGTGTCAGATCGAGGTTCTGCGTGAGCTCCATTCTGTACGACAGAGCATATACCGCCACCTGGCGCGTGGCAGCGGCCAAATGCAGCGTCGACAACAATTGCGTGCAGTTGCCATGCTTGCGGAATCCCCAGCTGCCCGCGCACCGCGCGCCAGCCAGGAGAAGGGCGATCAACCGTGGGAGCAGTGGGTCGATTTCCTCAAGGACATGCACCCCCGCTGCGCGGAGACCATCGTCAGCCACGCGGCCCGAGCGGGGAGACTCGCGCGACGGGCCCAACAGCGTGCCTTGCGGAAGGCTGTCTACGACTTCCGCGACTGGGCCGTCACCGACGACGCCCCGGGCACATTCCACGGCTCATTGCGACCGCAGCCGCGACCAGCCGAGGCGATGCAGGATGGCACCGGCACCATCATGCACCCCGTGGACTTCATCGACGGCAAGGTAGCAACATGGCAGCAGCCCTGGGCGCCGAAGGAGACCAACGACGTCGGTTTACACGAGGCCTTCCAGAGCATCCACGACCGCATCCACAAGCGCAGCCTGCCGCCCATCATCAGCACCGAGGTCAGACAAGGCCTCGAGCACCTCAAGGCCAACTCGGCGCTCGGGGCCGACCGTCTTCGACTGGCAGACCTACTTCGTCTCCCCGAACCTGCGCCCGCCGAGCTCACCGAGATCCACGACGCGGCGGCGCAGGTGCAGATGCGGCCACGCCAGCTTCTGCAAACCTTCGGCGCCACGCGCGCCAACAAGGACAGCGGCGACAGGACCCTCGGACTCATGACCATCACTGCCAGGCTTTGGTCCATGATAAGAGTACCACATGTCCAGGCATGGAACAGGGAGTATGTCGCTCGTTGGGACGCCATCGCCAGGGGCTGCTGTGCCTTTCGGGGGGCCTACGAGCGCAGCTTGCACGAGGAAGTAGCGGCGCGACTAGGCATTCCACAGGCGCACGGACTCATCGACATCTATCAGTTCTACGGTCGCATCCACTGGACAAGCCTCATCGACGAAGCCCTCGAGCTCAACTTTCCGCCCGAGGTTCTAGGCCTCGATGTCCTACAATGCATGGCCCCACGCGCGCTCGCACAGAGCGGAGCGTGCGCCGAGGCCGTGCAACCAACCAGATTTGTGGTGCAAGGGTTAAGGTCAGGCACACGCTTCGCCAAGATCATGACTTTCAAGGCCCTGCAGTGCATCTCCACAAGCCACCCCACCACCCGACACCGCATCCTGGCCGACGACCAGTCGCAGCGCGCGCAGGCCAGCCGATGAGCACTTCGCCGCAACATGGTTGTCGTGCTCACCGACGCCTGCAATGCGCTCCAGGGCCGTGGCCTCGTCATCGCCAAGAGGAGCGTGATAGTGCGCGCGCGCTCCCAGGACGCCAAGCACATCGCCATGTCTATGCGACACAAGGGGTGCCACATCCAGCCGCGGCCTCAAGCTGCCCACCTGGGCGCCGACCTCAGCTGCGGCGCCCGACGCCCCAGGGCGACGGCCACCCAGCGACGGCGGCGCCGCGAGGACATGCGTGCCAAGATCGCCCGCGTCGCCCGCGTCACCAAGCGGTGCCGCACCACCGCTAGGTTGGCTGCGCAGGGCGGGCTTGCCGCTGCCAGCTGCGCCCGCCAGCTCCACGGCGCGCTCGGCGCCGCCATGGCCACCTGCCGGCGGCGACTCGGCGATGCAGTTGGCCGACGCCTACGAGGGCGCTGTCTCGCTGCGCCCCTCGACCTCCGAGTTTGCGAGAGGGGCCCCGCCGGGGAGCTTCCGCGCGAAGCCTTCGTGGCATGGTTCGCCGCGTGGGTTGCCAGCTCCTCGCCCCGCCATGCCATCGCCATCATCTGGGCAATGATCGTCGAGCACTTCCAGACCATCCCACCTGCGCTACATGTCCGACGCACGCGCGGCCCACAGCCCACCATCATCCACTACGTTTTGCAGGTGGGACGGGGGCCCCGCGCAGCCCAATCCATGGAGGCT